CTGCGTCCCGCGCCCGCCGCCCCGCGCCCGGCCGACATGAAGACCCCCGGCGAGGTGCTGCGCGAGGGCGAGCTGGAGAAGCGCAGCGACAGCCTGTTCCAGCTGTGGAAGAAGAAGCGCGGCGTGCTCACCCCCGATCGCCTGAGCCTGTTCCCCGCCGGCGCCGGCGCGCGCCCCAAGGAGCTGCGCTTCCACTCCATCCTCAAGGTGGACTGCGTGGAGCGCACGGGCAAGTACGTGTACTTCACCATCGTCACCACCGACCGCAAGGAGATCGACTTCCGCTGCGCGGGCGAGAGCTGCTGGAGCGCGGCCATCACGCTGGCGCTGATCGACTTCCAGAACCGCCGCGCGCTGCAGGACTTCCGCGGCCGCCAGGAGCGCGCCGCGCCCGCGCCACCCGGGCCCCGCGCGTCCTAGCCCCGCACCGCCCGCGCCCGCTCTCGGCCCGGCCCGGGGAGGACGAGTGGACTGCGGCCGTCGGGGGAAGCCCTGCCTCGCCGGGAGATGCTTCCGGAGGGGAGCGGGGGACCTGGCGCCACGAAGTCTCGTGGCCGGAGCCGTCGCTTGCCCCTTTGCGCCGGGTCCCGCGGCACTCAGGCTGGACGCCGGCCCGCTCCCCGCAGAGCCACACGCTGGACGAGTCCGCCCCGACGTCGCAGGGCCGCGCCAAGCAGGTGCCCGGGACGGCGGGAGCCCCGGCCGCCGCGTACCTGCGCGTAGAGGAGGACCTTCCCGGGCGTGCGGAGCCTGGCCCCGCCGCGCCGGCGCGTTAAGTTATTGGACTATCTATGTATTTATTTTGATGGGTCTTTGTCATGACACCGTTTTGTCTTAATATTTTGTTTTTGCATCAATGTGTCCATTCCAAATAAATTACTTGAGCAGTTCCTTTTTCTATCATCTGCTGTGGTGCAGTGAGCTTCCTGCCGGGAGGGTTGAGGCTAGAATGGGGCGGCAGGGTGCCCGCCCTGGTCTGAAAAGCACTGGGTGGGACGTGGCTTTTAGTGAATGGTGTCATCTGGGCCAGGTCCTCCCCCTCATTTCGCAGCCGCCTCCCCAGAGGCCAGGAAGTGCCTGGGGCTTGGCCCTGGCTACCTTCCCCTCCTGGGTGTGTCCTGGGAAGGACAGTGCGGCCTGTAATGTTAGCTCTGGAGTTCACTCACAAACGCCCCATCCGAGCGGCTGCTGCATGTGCTTGGGGTGACCTTCTCTGACCAACCCTCCTGCCCACATGACACCTGTCCAGCCACTGGCCGGAAGGAGGGTCAGCCCTCCGGCTGTCTGCCCCCGCTGGAGCATGGCAGCTCGAGTCAGGCTGCCAGCCCTCCTGGCCAGGGCCCGCAGGGTGGGCGTTGTTCCTTGGGGAACGGAAGGACGGTCTGGGCTGTCTCTAGTGGCAAGAGGCTGAGGTCCCTGAGCGTCCAGGGGCTGGCCCAATGGCAGTGGGGGTGGAGAGGAAGCCCTCTGCTGCTTCCTGAGCTACCTGGCCAGCTGGCCGCTTCTGCCTTCCCTGCTTGGCTGCAACCCGTGTAGACAGGGATGGACCGAGACAGTTTGCGTCAGGGCTACCTGGCAGGCAGGACTCTGGTTTGTCCCCCACCCAGAGGGTCTGTTGGTGGAGAACAAGCCCAGGCGGTTAGAAGAGGGCTCAGGCACTGATTCTGCCCTGTGAGGGGCCTTGGTTTCTGGATTGTTCTGGCTGGAGGGAGGTGGGTAGGGAGGTAGCAGTGAGGGGAGTGAAGCCCCAAACTGGGCCCTAGTCTCTGTCACTCAGCCTTGGCCCGGTAGGGAGCCGACACAGGCTGGGGAGGTGCTGTCCCTTTGCTGGGTGGCCTGTGGGAGTCCTGGATGCCAGGTCCGGAGAGGGAACCTTCCCTGCAAGGGATTTTCTCCCCAGCACTATCTGTGGAACCTCTGCGCAAAGGGGACGATCCCCCTGAAGACAGCAGAGAAGACTCGCGAGGGACCCTGCGCTGGCCAGCCGAGGGCCTCTCCCGCCCACAGCCTCGCCCGCAGCATGGCCGAGGTTTGGAGGTGAGAGCCGGTCCCTGGCAGTGGGTGCTCTCGGCCGGGGGTGGGTGCGTCTCAGCTCTCTGGGGCCACTTCCAGTTTGGGGCCCATGGGATGCTGAGGTTTGGGGATTCCGTCTTAATAACTTTTTAAGGAAGCCTGAGGGAGGAGGGGTGGCCTTCCTGGTCCAGGGGACATCTGCAGGCCCTGTTGAGGTTGTTCTCTCCAGATCACTCGCTCATTGGTCACTCGGTCACAGCAGCTGGGCTGGCCTCCCACCTACTGCCCCCTCCCTGGGGAGCCCGGAGCTGGGGGTGGCATGAGGGAGGTGGCTACACAGGGCCTGCCCTACAAATCGGCTCCAGGATGAAGAGGCCGAGAGAGGGAGACCCCAGAGGAGGCCCCTTCCGGAGACCGGGCCAGCGTCCCCGGTGCAGTCTGGGATGGGGCGTCAGGGCTTGTGTGCTCCGAGGCACGGTGAGGGCCTGTTCCCTAGATCTCCCCAGCCTCACTCCCCTGACCTTTCTTGTATTATTTATTTTCCCAGGAGCACAGATTCAAGTGGCCCTGAGTGTCCAGTGCCCTGATCTCTCAAACCAAACACACTCCCCTCTAAGGCAGGCGCCACTGCAGGCTGGGCATGAGCGAGCGAGCCGTCTGCACGACAGCAGGGGGACTCCTCCCTGTCCACGTTGGTGGACTGGAGGTTGGACTAATGGCTGGGAACAAACGGGTGATTCTGTCTTGGCCAGAGCCCCTGGGCCCAGCTGCAGCTGCCTCCTCCAGGAAGCCCTCCAGCCCCTGAGCTGCACCTCCCCGGTGAGAGACACAGACAGACCCTGTGGGAGCTACAGGAATCAGGCCGGAAGAGTCCTAAGGGAGTTTATTGCCAGTCTGCACTAGGTGCGGTGGTCACCAGACTTTGTCCCTCTTCCGGGGCGTGGGATCCCTCCAGATGATCAGGAGGAGGAGGAAGTTGACAGCGGCCTGCACGTGGCCGAAGATGGGGACACCGAAGCTGCGGTACAGCAGGCCACCGAGGGTGGGCCCCAGCGTGCGGGTCAGCGGCTGCACAGAGGCGCAGAGGCCCAGCATGGTCCCTGGGGGTGGGGATGGGGGACGGCAGTCAGGCCCTGGGCAGGTCCCTGGCAGGATGCCCACTTCCCGGACATAGCCTGGCCGCCCATCTCTCCTGACCCACCCCCACCTCCCAACCCGGCCCCCACATCCCTGGCCTGCGTAGAATACTCCCTGAAACGCCCCAAGCGTCTCCACCTGCCTGCTCTGAGCCTTTGGTCCTCCCCACCCTGGCCTTGGGAGCACAGCGCAGCTCTGGCTACCCCCAGTCTGCTCCCACGGGCGACCCGGCCAGCCGTGCGGAGGGCTGCCACGGAGCTTCCCTGACGTGGGGCCGAGCCTCCTCCCTGCTCCAGAAAGTTCCCCAGTGAAGGAGGAGCCTGGGAATGGGGCCACAGGTCGTGGGCAGCAGGCCCCGCCCCCGAAGGCCTGCCAAGGGAGGTGGCATCTGGCCTGGGGCTGCCAGGAGCTGGCTCTCAGGGCCCTTTCCCAGGCCCACGCTGGCCGCTGAGGGCTGGTGAGAGGGTGCAGTCTGCTGAGACACGGCAGGGCTCTGAGGCCAGGGTTTCAGGGTGGGCACAACCCCCCAGTGCCGCCTCTGCAGCCTCCTGGCCGTCAGCCCCTCCTCCAGCCACTGGCCCTGCAGCTCCCCGACACCCCCCACCTGAGCCTGAGGGGGTCTCCATGCCCCTCTGGAGCTGTCCCCAGGGTGGACATGCACATGGACACTACATGAGGCTGCGGGCAGCAGGCTCTAAGCAAGGGGACCACCCCCAGAATTCAAGGTGGAAGGATGCCCTCTGCCCAATTCCTAGCCCCCTAAAAGCGCTGAGCTGTGGCCCCAAGCCCAGAGGGGTCCCCCAGGCCCCTCAGAGTTGGGGATTCCCAGCGGGTCACAGGACGAGGGCCTGGCGAGGCTCCACCTGGCTCAGGGCCTGGCGGGGTGGGGAGGGCTGGGGGTGTAATTTAAGAGCAGCCTCGCCCCCTCCCCCGCCCCTGCAGAACTACCGGCCCCTCCGCCCCGTTCCCAGGCTGGGGCTGGGAGCCCGGATGCGATGCTCCTCCCAAGCTGAGGGTGGTGCCCTGGGCACGGCTGGCCTGCTCTACCCCAGGCTCCGGCACACCTGTCCAGGCCTTGCTCCCCACTCCCTCCTCTCAGCCTCTCCAAAGTGCCCCCAGCCTGGCCCAGCCCATTTGGAGAGAGACCCTCGTCTGGAAGGCCTCGGAGGGCCCAGGGCAGCCCCTTCCGGCCCCTTCCCCCACCCCTTCCCATCTGGGCCTCTCGCCCTCTGACTCCCACCTGGGTGGGTGGGTGGACCGGGGTGCCAGGCCCCCTGAGCACCCTGGCCCTGTGGCTGGGGAGGCCTGGAAGAACCCCAAGGCCTTGGACCTCAGCCAGCCCCCGGAGCCTGAGCTGGTGTGTACCTGCAGTGCGCCGGGGACCCCCAGTCTGGAAGGGGGACACTCCTCGGCCTCAGGAAAGCAAGCTGGGGCCGAGAGGTGCCTGTCTGGGGGCGCCTGTGTCCTCCCCCAGGGGCCTAGGGGCTTCCTAATGTGCATTCAGTCCCTCACTCACTCATTCACTCAGGAAGCACCTCAGGGAAGGGGAGCAGGAGCCCCAGGCCTTGGAGCCTGGCGGGCACGACCCTCAGGTACCGCCGTCCTGGCTGGCCCTCCCCCAGCTCTCTGGGCTGCCGGGCTGTGTTCCCAAGGGCCTCTGCAGGCGCTGTCCAAATCCACACCTCCACACCCCTGTTCAGCTGGCCCCCGCCCGGAATGCCAGCTTCCCATCCTCCCCATTAGCGAAACCCTGCCTGTGGGTCACAGCCAAGCCTAACGCCGCCTCCAGGCAGCCCTCCTCCCACGGCCCTGCACCGGTCCACCACCCAGCCCGCCCGGCCCACCCACACCCCCTGGGCAGCTGGGCAGGCTGCCTGGAGGGAGGGCCCGGCCCCAGATGGGGAGCTCACCCGTGTCCGCAGCCGAGACAGCCTTGGTCAGCATGCTGTCGGTGACCACGTTGAGGGTGCAGAGACTAAAGACCAGGCCGGGCACCAGCAGGCAGAAGTGGAAGACGTTGGACATCATGGCCTGGCACAGGGCAGGGAGCAGGGCCACGCTGAGCAGGGGCTGCACAGGGCCAGCGGGCTCCTCCCTGCAGCCCCGCCGGCTCCTCCCACCGTGACTGCTGCCTGCTCGGGGCTGGCCCTGGCTGGGGTGGAGGGTTGAGGCTGGCCGGTGGGATGTGGCCTGAGGTGCCATGCCTGCGGCAGAGGTCAGGGGAGTGGGGCTGGGACCCCTCCTTCGTGGGGGCAGCCAGTGGGGGCAGTGCTCACCATGCCCAGCCCCACCAGGACGAAGACCAGCACGCTGGCCCGGAGCAGCGCTTCCTCCGAGAGGCGGCTGCTCAGCCACCCGATGACCAGGCCCTGGGTCACCTAGTCCAGGGAGAGAGGGCGGAGGTGGGTGTGGGGGAGGCCTGGACCGCAGCCAGCCCTGCCGCAGCAGCCCCTCCTCAGAGAAGGCCCGGGAAGGCCCCGCACCATCTGCAGCCCTCGCCCGGACGGCACCGAGGTCCCTGCAGGGTGGGGGTGCAGGGCCAGGCCCAAGCCAGGGAACCAGGGGTTCGGGCACGACTCAGATGGACAGGCCCGGCCCACGGGCCGCTCCCCACGTGGTCATCTCGCCTCCTGCACCCAGCAGGACGGGCCGGGACCACACTGGGGGCCGTGTGCTGGGGGCAGGCCCGGCCCTGCAGAACCACCGCGCTTGGACCAATCCCTGTCTCCC